ATTAATTTCCATATTTCAGTTTGTCATTTTAAGTTTTGAAATAACAGAGTGCGTTATGTAATTTTTAGGATATTTTATGCAATTTTTGAAATTTTTTGGATTAATATGTGAGCTGTTTCATATATTTTATTAATCTTGTTTTTAAAGATTTTAAGATGTAGGTAATTGAAGTTTGATGGTGATAGGATATAATTATGATTACGATAGACTAAAATGATGAAGGGTAATACTGACTATAGAAAACTTTTTGGGAACTCATGCTTTTAAAGAGAGTACAACAAGAGGTGTTTAGCAACTTCACACTAATTAGATAAAGATTTTAACTAGATTGAACTTTGAGTGGAAATAGAGATGGTCCAAAGACAATGTAGCCAATGGTTTCTTCTTTTAACTAATAATAAATAACTACTTCAATCAGATGCAGGGTTTTACCAAACACATTTTAAGTGCTTAACCAAAAGAGATATAAACCAAATGAGATATATAACAATAAAAGGGAGTTTGGTGGAGATTTTATTTATTTATTTGTCTAAATCAAATGTTAAGTTAGCTTTTTTATTCATTTATTTAGTTAAATATCAAATAAAATAGCTTATAAGTCCCACTTTAAAATGCCAAAATACCCTAGACCTTGAAAGACTATCATATAAGCTTGAGTAAAGAAGCTATAAAGCAAGAGGATTTTTGGGGAGCTCATTTTTTTCTCTTAAATTTGCTTTTAAGCTAGCATTTTCACATCTTTTTGTTTTGGTAGAATGTTAAATAAGTTAGTCCATAAGTATAATTTTAGAAAACTAGTATAACTCAGCTTTTGAAAAACTAGTTTATAATCTTACTATAAGCAAGGTTTGACTAAACAAATTAGTATTCTACCCAAATAATTTTTTATAGCATTTTTATCATAAAAGCCAAAAGCAGTAAAACTTATAAGCTTCAAAAGACAAGTCTCTCCAAACACAGATAACAAAATATTATTTTACTTCAACAACTTTTATGCAACTTTTATATGCCTCCTATCATAACATCCAAAAGCCATCAAAAGCCAACTCATTAAAAAACCCCTTTGAGAGCCATCTTACTTGCCAAATAAACCTATAGCATCTCCAACAGGGGCACGAGAAAGCCTCCAGATAGCAAACACGTCTAAATTTCTTTATGTGATCAATTTTGAGCCAAATTTGGTCACTGAGCTTAGAGCATCTCCAACGTTACTTCAAAAAGCCATTTTGACGTCAAAAGAACACCAAAACTGTCTCCAACCTAGCGCCAAAACATGCGCTATTTTGGGGCGTTGCCACAGTGTTGCGCCAGGAATGACGCAACACTGTAGGCGCCAGAAATGACACAACACTGTAGATATGGAGTTTTTCCTTTTTCCCAGTTTGCCCTTAAAACTGGTTATAACAAGTCAAATATTCCAATCATATCTCATTTCATCCATCATATTTCTTATTTGGTGTAAAATTTGGTGTAATAGATTGAAGATAAAATAGTGATTTTGTGTAAAAACTACATGAACTTGGTGCAAAAACTACACCATTTTGGATTTTTGGGTTGGAGATGCTCTTAGGCCCAATTTTTTCCCACATTGGACCGGGTCTAAATTCTGCACACGCGCATACCACGTGCTAAAGGATGTAAAATAAAAACCTCACGGAGGGGAATAAGGAGAAAATTTCGAATTAGACCCTTTACAAAAATAATCAATTTATTTTTAAAATTTATATATATACACACTAAAGTCAAAGGGTTTACCACTGTAGAATGTCTATTGAGAAAATTTTGAATTGGACCCTTTAAAAAAAAAAAGCAATCTATTGTTTAAATTTATATATATACTAAAGTTAAAGGGGATTACCACTGTAGAATGACTTTTTTTCATAGATACAGTAAAAATTTATGTTATTATTAATTTTGTGTTCCTCGGAGCTTACAAAAATCATTAGCTCCGTTGGTCCGATCGCTCTAATTGCGCAGGGGAGGTGGTGGGTTCCAGGCCTGCCTACCACAAAATCATCTTTACCTAAAATATTGTTTACCTAATTAAAAAAACAGGTAAATGACGATAGGGCAGAATAGCCATCAGCGTTTTACGGATTGGGATCCTCTACTAATAGATCCTCTACTAATATCTACTAATAAAGATATCTTAGCCTTTGATTTATCAATCAAAGGCCAAGATCTCATCCGTATCCTCCCCTTACTTTTGCTCATGAGGAGATCTTGGCCTTTGATTGATAAATCAAAGACCAAGATTCCATTAGAAGATATTAGAAAGCTCCTCATTAGTAGAAGATCTCAATCCGCGTTTTACCTTTTTTTTGGTAGAAAACCCCAATAATAGGTAAATGACAATAGGTCGGAATAGCCATCACCATTTTTTCAAATTTACTTTGCAGAAAACCCCAATATCTTTTGGGTAATTTACACTAAACCCCCAACAACTTTCCAAATCCCTTTTATCCTTTCTTAGCCCCAAACAAGTTTATGATTATTAAGAATATGGTTCTAATTTAGGGACATTGGTTCTAATTTATGGGTGGGGTTTTGTGCAAAATTATTACTAGTTTAGTACGATTTAAAAAACTATTAGGGGTCAATTGCAAAGTGCTAAAAGAAATGTATTTGGTCAATAAATTATTTAAGTATAAAATATCATTTTTGAGAGCTAGGCACACCTCAATAAATAGCATTTTGCATATAAACCAGTTTATAAATCAATTATAAAATGACTTGTAACATAACAATAAGATGAACTTCAATAGGATAATATAATGAGGCAATACTTCATGGACTTAAGTGAGCTAATATAATAAGAGGATGAGGTATCATATAAAGGGTTTTTGCTTATAAACCTAATATTTAGCCTAATTAGTTTTTTAATTCACCTTTCTTTTCTCTAATAAACCTAAACACTTAAACCCCCCACCCCCCACCCCCCCACACACAGGTCGAAAACCAATTTTTTTTAAAACATTGCTATATCTAGAATCGTTCTTAGACCTAAAATACTTCAACTAACGATTTACACCATATTTTTAAACCCTGTTTGCTTCTAGAAAAGGCTTTTTCCCCTATAAATACAAACTTTTACCCCCATTTATTTTTGAACCCACTCATTCCCAAAACCATTCCTACACCAAAAACACTCACTGAGTTACTTCAAATTGAGTTTGTATTCTAGCAGTTTATTATATATTGTGACTTATGATATTTTTGTTATGACTTGCTAATAAGGTATTTAGCTATACATTGTATTTTCTAAATTAAATATTAAACTATTTTCTATTTTTTTCACACTAATGTCGCGTCATCAAAATTTAAAATAAATTTTTTACCTATCCCCTAGTGATATTTTGTTGTGACTTGCTAAGTAAGTAGTTAGGCGTACATTGTATTTTTTTTCACACTAATGTCGTGTCACCAAATTTTAACTAATTTTTTACCTATAAATCATAAGTTTTACCCCCACTTATTTTTAAACTGACAACAATCTAGAAAATATTTTTCGCTTATAAAACCAAAAAAATTCCTTTAATTTATTTTTGAGAACTCACCCACTTCTAAAAAACACTCTTATATCCGTAATACTTCTTTCATTATTTTTAAATGCCTTTTGTATTTCAACACTTTGGTGCACGGTGTAAGTTGATATATTAACCTGTAGATTTTTATACTTTTTTCTACAAGTTGTTATGTATGTGTTCTTTTTTTTAAACCAAATAATTAAGTTTCTTTAAGTCTTTTCTCACGCAAAAATTGTGGCATTATAGATAATTTTTTAACCAGCAAACTTAAAGTTTTATCCATATTTAAAATTATGATCATCTACCCCAAAATAATTTTTTTTATAAACCCAAAGATTAACACTCCTTTACCATTAAACACATCCGCTTCTAAAATCACTCTTACCCACAAAATACTCAACTGATGTATTTTTGACTCACTTTGTATTGCAACAACTTGATATACGTTTTTCATTGCAATATATTATTTATTGTTGCGATATTTGTTTCTAAGTAATGCTCAAACAAATTTGTTTATTATTTATCTCACAAATCCCGCAGCAACTCATGGGTCAACCTTGCTCGTATTTATCAAAATAGAATTAGTTTTTGCTCCGCTGGCTGAAACTAGATTAATTTTGATAAATACTTTAATAAGAGGTCGATTTAGGAAAAAAATATTTCGTAGAGTTTGCGAGATTGGGAATCCCATACAAATTGGCTCTATAAAATTGCCAATCGCTTAAAGTTTAATTTTTTTTTTCAAAACCGATCTAGTTTTGCACTGAAACCAAGACAATTTTGATAAATATTTTATATGAATAAATCAAATTTGATAAATTGCTTTTGAAAAGGTCTATTTCAAAAAAATGTACATCCGATAAATACCCCTCTTAGCATCTTCCCTCATCGCTTCATCAGCATCCGCATCCAAACCCTAGCCGAAAGATTAACACTCCTTTACCATTAAACACATCCGCTTCTAAAATCACTCTTACCCACAAAATACTCAACTGATGTATTTTTGACTCACTTTGTATTGCAACAACTTGATATACGTTTTTCATTGCAATATATTATTTATTGTTGCGATATTTGTTTCTAAGTAATGCTCAAACAAATTTGTTTATTATTTATCTCACAAATCCCGCAGCAACTCATGGGTCAACCTTGCTCGTATTTATCAAAATAGAATTAGTTTTTGCTCCGCTGGCTGAAACTAGATTAATTTTGATAAATACTTTAATAAGAGGTCGATTTAGGAAAAAAATATTTCGTAGAGTTTGCGAGATTGGGAATCCCATACAAATTGGCTCTATAAAATTGCCAATCGCTTAAAGTTTAATTTTTTTTTTCAAAACCGATCTAGTTTTGCACTGAAACCAAGACAATTTTGATAAATATTTTATATAAATAAATCAAATTTGATAAATTGCTTTTGAAAAGGTCTATTTCAAAAAATTGTACATCCGATAAATACCCCTCTTAGCATCTTCCCTCATCGCTTCATCAGCATCCGCATCCAAACCCTAGCCGAAAGAATCTGCCCTCTCTCTCTCTCTCTATTTCTCTCTCCTCAATCCGCCATGGCCAAAAAACGAAAGCTCGTCCAAAACTCCGCTCCAGCGCCTGAATCCAAGCCTCAACCCGAACCCGAACCCCAATCTCAACCCGAACCCGAACCGATCGAGGAAGAACAGCCTCCTACCGAAGCCGAGCCCATCGCTGAAGAACAAGCAGCAGCAGCTGAGGAGGAGGAGGAGGAAGAAGAATCAGAGGACGACGACGAAGAAGAAGAAGGCGAGGAGGAGGAGGAGGAAGAGAAACCCCAAACCCTAGATCAAAACCCTAACCCTAACCCTAACGGGGTTAGCGACGATCTGGAGGACTCTGACCCCCAATCCATACAGAAGATCCTCGAGCTCTTCCCTAAGGACCAGCTCGTGGACATGCTCCGTGCACCGCGCCGTGAAGGCACGCGGCTGACTCTACGTCCCAGCATCGAATTCCCGACATCCGCGTGAGGGTTGCCACCGGATCGCCGGACGTGGGACCCGCGGGCACAGGCCGAAACGATCTTTCGTCCACGGGCCTCGTGGCCGATGAAACACCGCAAGGTTTTGACCGATGTCTTTCGGCCAGTACAGGCCGAGATTGAGGCAACTGAAGGCCGTCAGCCGATAAAGTCGACCGGCAAGCTCCAAGGGCTATGCGTTCATCCTCTCAAGCGTCGGAAGCGAGGGCCTGCAAGAATGCTCTGAAGGAGCTCAGAAGAAGATGCGGAGTCCGGCTGACTTCGTGCCAGCTGGCGTTGCAGCGGGGCCGGTGCGCCAGCCGCCGGCCAGCAGCAGCGCCTGTGTCTCGAGTATACTCAAAGGAAGATCTTTGTTAGCAATGTCGCAGCTGATATTGAAACGCAGAAACTTTATGAATTCTTTGCAAAGTTTGGGGAGATTGAAGAAGGGCCTCTAGGGCTCGATAAGGCGACTGGAAAGCCTAGAGGGTTTTGCTTGTTTGTGTATAAGACGGTCGAGAGTGCAAAAAAGGCTCTAGAGGAGCCACATAAGAATTTTGAAGGGCATATGCTGCATTGTCAGAAGGCAATTGATGGGCCAAAGAACAAGCAAGGGTTTCAGTTCCAGCACGGGGCCGGTCAGTATTCAGGCGGTAATGCTCCAAAGGCAAACTTCTCCGGGGGAGTTGGGAGCCACATGCCAGCTGGCGGAGGGCATCTGATGGCGCCCTCGGCTACTGGGATGGGATATCAGGCTCCTGCAGCTCAGCCTGCGGCAGCAGTGGGAGGGATTAACCCGGCAGTTAATCAAGCTCTGACTGCTTTGCTTTTGGGTGGGTTGGGACCGGCTATGAATCAGGGAGTGCCTGGGCAAATGGGAGGTAGTGGAGTTCAAGGTGGGTATGCGAGTGGGCAGATGGGGTATGGAGGGCAACCACAAGGTGGGTACGGGGGAGCACAGATGGGGCAGGGACGTGGGACCGGGACATGGGCACAAGGTGGCGGTCCGCCTTACATGGGGCATCATTAGGTAAAATGCGTGGTTGTGCTGGGTGGTAAATACTTATATATTAATTGGGTTTATTATTTTTCTTATTGTCATTTATATATCATGCTAACATAAAAGTGTTGGTCATCATTAGGTAAACAATAAAATGGGTACTTACCTTTGGTGGTAAATACTTATATCTTGGGTCATCATCAGTGCTTATGTTGGGTGGTAAATTATTTATATTAATTGGTTTTAGGATATATTCCTTTTAGTCGCTCTATCATGCTAACTTAAAATCGTTGGAACATTTTGTTGTGATGGAGGCATCACCTGCGTGCTAATATTTGTATTCATGTGGTGGTCTATCTTTCAATTTGGGCCTTTATTAAGCATATAAATGTAGCTATATTAAGTGCAACGAGGACGGAAAGAATAGTGACACATTGTAGTAAATTTAGACTATTATACTAGAACAAAGAAAATATAGTAACACATTCTTTTAATGCATTCTGTAATTATTGTAGCCTAGCATAACAGCCACTAACTTGTTTTCCAGGTTCAAATCTTCTCTACATAAGTAGACATTGGCCTAGTATTCCCCTTATATTTTTAGATTTTGCCCAGTTCTTTCAACTTCTGTCAGTGTGAAATCAAATCCCCTCAAATGTAAGAAAGTCTTAATTTAGGACATAGTCAACCTTTATTTAAAATTGTAGTTAGTCTCTTATATTGTTAATTGGTGCTAAGGAAAGATAAATACAACTCACACTTCTGCCAGTTCTAGTAGTTTTTATGCTTGAGTGGTTATAAATTATAAGGTATTTTTTATGTAGCCATGTTTGTGAAATTTCAGTAGTTTGAAACTTTATAAAGTTTCTATGTAGAAAAAAGCTTTAATTAACTCGTATTGGTCCTTTAATCCAGCATAGCAATACATCCATCTTTATATGTACTTCATTTGCTGTGTGCAGCTGTTGTTATTTAATGTAAATTATGCTGTCCAGTGTCCCCTTTCTTGATTGACATCACTTCTGCCAGTTCTAGTAGTTTTTATGCTTGAGTGGCTATAAATTATAAGATATTTTTTATGTAGCCATGTTTGTGAAATTTCAGTAGTTTTGAAACTTTATAAAGTTTCTATGTAGAAAAAGAGCTTTAATTTACTCGTATTGGTCCTTTAATCCAGCATAGCAATACATCCATCTTTATATGTACTTCATTAGCTGTGTGCAGCGGTTGTTATTTAATGTAAATTATGCTGTCCACTGTCCCGTTTCTTGATTGACATCATCCACTTCAGTTTTATTGATATCTGTTTTGCATCCTTTTTCTGCAGCATGTTGCATTTAGCTTCATAATTCTTGGTCTATTTTGTAGGACCTTTCTATTTTATAGGAGCTTGCATGTGTTTATAGATCACACAACTATATTCTTGCCAATATTGGATCATGAAAGCTGCACTGATATTGTTATGGGCAGAAAATCCCCCTTGCCAATATTGGTGATCATGAAAGCTGCACTGATATTGTTATGGGCAGAAAATCCCTTGAAGTTTGTAGAAATGACATAAGATCCCCTGAAGCTTTAAAACTAACACTTCAACTCCCTCCTTTCGATTTTACTGACAAATAAGGTCACAACATGCCACCTGTGTAATTACAAAATTTCCCCTAAGTCTTAAGAGAATAAATGAACATGCTTATTTCTAAGGATACTTTGGTATAAACGGGTCGCATGATACCCATTTGACCTTGTTTGAGGGGAAATTCTTAAGGAGGAAACAAAGGTGTTAGTACATCAGGGAATCTTTGTGTCATTTCTATAAAGCTTATGAGGATTTGTTTTTTGGTAAAATTACCTATTTTTACTTATCATTCCTATAGCCTTGAGATAATTATTGTTATGATGTGTTAATTCTTCTGCATGCAAGCATTATGATTTGGCTTTCTATACTTAGGCTTTTGTGCTGTATGTACAATACAGTCTTTTATTTGTTTATTACAATCCAATAGGTGTCAATGCTTTTGCATTTCACGACACAACCATATGCACAGCTTGCATAGTATTAGTCAACATTACTGCTTGTGGTGACCGTGTATTCATCTGCTTGTTATTATAAAATTTCCCATGTTTCTTTTAGTTTATACACAAATTGTGGGAGTTCCCGTAGGTTTTATTATAAGTATGTTTGTAGGTTAATTTGATGAATAACTTCAACCTTCTGAAAATAAACTGCAGTTTGCAGCTCTGCATTTTAGACATCATATTGCCCTGACTACACTGCATGGTAGATGATAGTGGAATGTATACGATCCACTGTGTAGCAATGATGAAATTCTTGGTGTGCTTTGTAATGGATGTGCTTTTCATCTTATTAGACCCCTGTGAATTAGATACTTTTCGACTGTTAAATTGATGACCACCTCATTGTTCTATCAACTTCTATAGACAAAATAAATTAAAAAATAAAGTAAAATAAAACCTGTCTTGTTGAAACTGAGCGATGCATGTACAAGGTTGTAATAAAAAGGCTGCACATCAGCTAATGCTTGTAAGCTAATACAAAAGACGAAATCTATCTGGTATTGATGGTGATCACTCGATGTGGTCAGGGAGTAGACTCATGCATATTGTAGTAAATCCTGTTCGACATTTTGCATAATTTATGTGAATGTGTAAATTGTTTATATTTGCATAGATTTTATTATGATTGCTTTGTAGGTCAATTTGGTGAATCTCTTTAAAAACTTGAAAACGTACTTTCTGTTGACTAGGCGTTTTATGCCTCAATGCTTGATCGCATTGCATATGCTAGTTGGAAAGGAATATATAATCCTATATAGCAGTTATAAATTCTTTATGCAATTGCCTATTGATTTATATCATTCACTTTATTAGTCTCAACCTTTGATTCATGTGCATTGCAACGACAAACAATCATCTTTCCCAGATCTTGGGGAAAAAAGTTGAAGCTCAAATCATGTTTAAAACTAACAGGCTTGCAGAGTTCGTAATTAACAAAAATGCATATAAGCTTTTGTACTGATGGGTGAGTTCTTAATGTACTTACTGTGTGCGAGATAAGAGTTGGAGAGGTCTGTGTGTTCATTAAGCAGAATGCTTGTAGACTTTACTGCAAGTTATTGAATGATTCTAACATACTCTTTTCACTGCAGAATCTTCTGTTATTTGATTGGTTGTGCTGTTTATAATCCTATACTTTTTTACCACTTGTTTATTTAGATTGTAACTTTTTTATGTGTTTGTTATATGTTATACTTGACATAAATTTCTGGGAGCTTTATTCTTTCACTTATTGTTTATAGACTTTCTACTGCTAAAAACAAGTTCCTTTTGAACGTATAAAATCATCACCTTTCTTGTGACTGCATATTTTTAATCTCTGGCATTTTGAAATGAGCTTCTCATGAAATTCTCTGTATTGAAGCTAACAAAATACTGAACTACAGAAAATATATTTGTTTTTTATTTAGTCGAATAAATTTCTCATTAAAAATTTTGTTTCTAAAAATCACTTTTTTTTACTTATTCATCTTGCAGATCCTATATAGGTGGTTTCTACTGGAGTTCCTCGTTCTGCACCAATGCAATGCAGTTTTAATGGTTTTAATAACTGTAGTCCCTACAAAAGCTATGAGTTTTTCAGCAAATGTTCACTGGAACTATTTTCATCCTTTTAAACTTTGTAGTATGTGATATTTTCGTCAACTGGATTTGGTCTCCTCGAAGCCATTTCTATGGCTTTGAATCTATTGTACAAGTAGTTTTTGGATTTAAAATATGTTGGATCATTAATCTATTAATTGCCTGGTTGTTTTTCTACATTGTTTTTCATCATGGGCTATTGTCAAAATTCTGGTAGGCTTTAGTTTCTTTAAATTTATTCTGTTGGAACTTTTGAAGTTTGAACGTTCTTTCATAAAATGAGAGTGTATTTTGAAATTTAAGCAGCCTAACCTTCGGCTTCATTTTAAAACATGGTTTGTATAGGGATTTATATGTGATGTAATCTAATCATGATCCAGCATTACTTACACTTGTGGGTGCAGGTTATTCTATTGAACTGGCAGCAGGTACAGGCTGTTTAAAACTTAGGTAAAGGCTCAGTCTCATTGTACATGCAATTTGAGTGAATGGTTGATGCTTACTATCATATGCACAATGTGGTGGCATGATCTATCAATTTATCTTGTTTATGTCACATTTTAGTACTTTCTTTAATAATGCGGCACCCTCACTACTCATTTAATTTGAGCGTGTTCGCATGATTATCTTTTTTGCTGGTCTTTTCACACATCATTTGATAATAATCGTGTCATCTTCTAGTTAATACATTACCAACTAAATCTTTATTTACAAACTAGAGTTTGCATATTGTTTATTTGGGTAATTTCTATCTATTGTGGATATGTTTTTCCAGCCTGACTATCATTAAATTCTTTTAATTCACTATTAAACTGGGTTACTCTTCAGCTAAATAGAACTTACACCCTATTGTTTTAATTCACTATTAAAATGAGTTATTCTTCGGCTAAATAGCACTTATATATCCTATTGTTTCATCTACTTTTCACTTATATACCCTCACTTGTATCGGGTAACAAGAAAATACCTTGAAGTTTTTTTAATGTGCACTTACATACCTCACTTGTTTTTGGTCGCACTTACATACCCTAAAAGTTATTGAAATTGGCACTTACATACCTTAAAGTTATTGAAATTGGCACTTAAATACCCTAAAGTTATTGAAACTGGCACTTAAATACACTAAAGTTTTTAAAACTTGCACTTATATGCCCCCAAGTTTGCATAACTGAGGGTACCTATGTGCAAGTTTAAAAAACTTCGGTGTATTTAGGTGCTGCCAAAAAAATGAGGGTATATAAGTGCTAGTTTGAAAAACTTGAGGGTATTTTTTTGCTACCACATTCAAGTTGGCATATGTAAGTGAAAACTAGGTAAAACTGTGGGGTACATATGTGCTATTTAGCTTTATTCTTCATACTTATGTCCCATGAGCTACTACAATTTCCTTTTTTTTATTTATTTAAATTTTCTATTGAATTACATTCGAAGTCATTCTTCCGAGATGTAGGACAGTTTTGTTACGCCTTTGGAAGTTCATAAATTATCTCACTCTTATACTTCAGCGGTCTTCTTGATTTCGTCATCTCCCTTGAGGTTTTTCCTTTTTGACTTTTTGAGTTGAAGCTATATCTGATTGTTGTCAGGAATCCTGTTAGTTACTATGATGTCTATAAATTATGCAGGCTGGTTCTTTTGAAACTTAAAATCAGGGTATGTTTTATCCATTTTCTTGCGTTACTTGAAGCTCTATAGTAAGTTTCCATGTTCTTCAAAAAGTCTTGTTTCTTCAATCTATTCTCGTATCCTTCCGAATAATACCCCTTTCCTGTGTACATACCTTGATATGAAGCTGTATGCTATCTTCTATGTACTTCAAGTACTGGTTTTTGGATTAATTCTTATGACTAGACTAGATCTTAAAACTTCCAAATACGTACCTCCTTTTCTTTGCTCACCCTTGGATTTATAAGAGTTTCAAGGATCAGATTTTTGTATTTGTGGGCTAGTACTAGGATGTTTTCTCACTTTAGAAATTAGTCTGCATCATGGAAATGTTTTCTTGAGGTCCAATTATGCAAATGTTTTATAGCAAGGACTTTCTACTCTATGAAAATTTGAACATACGCATAAAACGTTTGCTGTTTTATGATCCAGCAGGAGCATACTTTCCCGTTACAAAGCCATTTTTAATGTACTAAAAAAACTTGTCAATTGAAGAATGGCGGTGTTGTTTCCATAAATAATTGAAGAATATGTTTGCAAAATTGCTTAGGCATAGGATTTAATAATTGGCATGAAAACTTTTCATTAAAACATTGAACATGCCAGTAAGTCTTCGGTCTATCTTTGCTGGCATAATTTAGTTGCCGAGTATTGTGCCCTTTTACCAATCTTCTACCTAAAGCTGTATTGTGCCAATGAACTTTTGCACCCCAAGCTCTTGCTTTAGGATTATAGAACTCACCCTTTAAGATGTTGACCCCATTTGAGTCATTTTATGTGATCCTAAATTGAACTTTAGGGTGTTGTAAACCTGTTGTGTTAGATTCTGATCATGACAGTTGATCTGCAAGGGAAATCCTATGGTGAGTGGGTTGATTGAGGAGCGAAAGGAGATCTTATGAAGTAAATGGGCGTCTTCGACCATTTTCTATTTGATACAAGATCAATTATAGAAATATGTTGTGAATATTTCTTCCTACGTTTGACTGTGATGCTATGTCAAAAGATAGGTGCTTGTACAATTTTCTGTCATGCGTTTCCCTCAGCCTTGGAGCTGTGCTCAAGGAGAGTGGTTAGATATGTTTCATATATGAACATTGTACATAAAAAAGAGGAGGAAGTGCTGCTTTGTATCTAGGCTTCTGATATGGATTGCAACTGAGCTGCATCTATGGCTTACTGAGGATGGTGGGAACTAATTACTCATCCATATCAGCATCCCAGTGAATGAAATAAGATTTCATATGGTTGGCTAAATGGGGATAATGCTTGCAGTCTTTCATTCAGCCAAAAAACACGCACAAACACGCACACGCCCCTGTTCCCCGATGCTAGCGTGGATGAAACAGAGGTGTCTCCTGTTTCCTGTAATGTGGAAGTATCGACATAATTTGGTTCCTCCATGACTCTTACCACGGCCCTCATTTTCCCTTTAAACGTAACCGCCACTCGTTAACTATAATTGGGAGTTTATTTTAATTAATTTTGATTTGATTTGCAGGTCACATTGTGTTTTCACTATAGCTACTAGTACGATATGAATAGCCTGTTGCGAAAAAGTGAACGTTTTGTGTGCGCCCCAAAGATTGTAGTTGTTGGATGAAGTCGTAGAGTTTCATTGTAGTCTCGTGCCCAGAAGAAGGAAAAAGCAACTCTCGAAAGTTCATGGGTGCTTAGTAAAGCTAACCTTATTTGCAGCTTGTCTTACTTGCGTTCTGACCTGATATTATTCTCAAAAAGCTGATCATTCCTATTTCTATTAAATTTCTTGTGCCAACTCTGAAAAACGTTGATGCTTTTGATCTGAGTGAAGGGATCTTTATACAATACTTTAAAAATGATATCGGCCATCGAATTCTCTAAAGCGTTTGCTGAAGCATGATGATGGTCACGGTGCTTGAGTTTTGTGTGAGTTTTGTGTGTCCTGTTCGGCTCAGGACCGTCCGTCGAATTCTTGTTACCCTAATGAAAACTATCATGTTTCAGCTTCAGCCAGCCGGAGAGCTCCCTTAAGGGGGGAAGGAAAAAACTACTATGACTGAAACTGTTGTGTTTCAGCTTTTAATGGTAATTTGGATGCGCGGGGGGTAACCATGCCTTTCGTTTTAGGAAGCGCTGAGAGGTGGTAGGTATATACATACATATATATATACAAGAGAACTGTCACGCTTGTAGGGCCTCCAAATACATGCTCTCTGACGTCCAGGTGTTTTTTCTTCCCATGACGAGCTTACCCTTGTCACTCCCTCGCCTGCTGGTCTCAGAAAACAGAAAAAGGATTTTATTAGGGGGAAAAAATAACATAATAAACACCTCTACGAAATATAATTCGCATGGAAATAGGTACTGTACCGGTGCGGACAAAGGGGCACAGCAATAGTTTAGAATGCTATATAAGAAATGTGTAGTGTCCCAAATATTAGTAGAAATGGCTAAAATTAGTTTATCGTTGTTAAAATTAGTTTATCGTTGCTAAAATTTGGGGGACTACAGTTTGGTTCGTACCTTTCATGTAACAAGTTTGGTTCTGTTCCATTGCTAAAATTAGTTTATCCTTGTTACATTTGAGTCTTAGATCTATCTATTCACGCCATTTAAGTTTCTCATACAGCCCCAATGTGCAACTAATATTTGGGACACTACCGTTTGAAGGGTCGCAAAAACACACTTTTTAATTTATAACAATCAACATAATTTAAATTATGTTGATTGTTATAAATTAATAAGTGTGTTTTTGCGACCCTTCAAAACTATAGTGTCCCTAGTTGCACATTAGGACCGTATGAGAAACTTAAATTGCGTGAATAGATAGATCTAAAAGACTCAAATGTAACAACGGTAAACTAATTTAAGCAATGGAACGGAACCAAACTTGCTACATTTAGTTATGGAAAATGGCGTGAATAGATAGATCTAAAAGACTCAAATGTAACAACGATAAACTGATTTTAGCAATGGAACGGAACCAAACTTGCTACATTTAGTTATGGAAAATGTTACAGGCACACTGTGAACCAAACCAAAAACCACAATCTCTCTCTACAGTGCAGTGGGGCCCACACGATTTTTTAAAAAAAATCATGTGTGGGCCCCACTGCACTGTAGAGAGAGAGAGATTGTGGTTTGTGGTGTGGTTCACAGTGTGCCTGTAACACCACTCTTTAGTTATGACCTATTACATCATGTCACGTTTAGGCAACATGACCTACATAACACTAAGGCCAGGAGCGTGACAAAAAACCATACCGGCGCATAATATATACACATTCAAGAAGCGCAGGGGAATGTCTTAAAATAAAAGCATACATCATAAGATGCATATGTTGAGTAGAGCTTCATCATGATCAAAGTACCCGGATAACATAGTTAACGATAGATACAGCATGCAAAATTAAAAACAAAGCATTCGACAGCAGCCTCCGATAAAATAAGATTAAGACGTAGAAAACCAGCCAACAAGCTTCGCAATGCAAAATTATCCTCAGATTAAAAAATAAAACTGAGACATTTCATTCTAGTAGCAAAAACATTGATTATAAAGGCAGCACACAACAGGAGAGAGATTTTAAAAGTTTCTAATGCATATCAAAATTCCAAAACACATAAGCACTACTAAGGAGCAAGGTTTCACTTTTTTTAAAGAAAATTTGCAGAATCGAACTGGGAAGGCATCCGCATTTAGGCTGTAGCTCCAGCACTCCCCTTGCCCTTCTTCCTCTGTAGCTTCTTCATC